TGTGCGTCTAGCAGGGAGACACCAATGTTCACTCTTACTGTGGAAACAGAGCTAGTCTCCAGACACACCCACTTTCAGACCCAAAGTACCTGCAGGAGAGAAATCTGGTTCTGAAGGAAGGATTGCATGGACAGGTCCATCTTGACCTGCTGGGTCAGAGCAGCCCAGTGCTGGCTCACAAAGGCACACCTGGTCAGGCTGTTCTTATCCAGCATTCCTGGGAGAAGAAGAAAGAAGATGGACCCAGAACCCCCCAGAGCTGGGCCCAGATGGGAAGTCTCTGCCAAGTCCCCGAAGACACCCAGCATACTTAGAATGTACTTGGAGAGGTGGAGGGGCAGGTAACGGATAAAGTCCCGATATTTGCTGGACCCAGAAGACAGGGCTTGAATATCGTCCAGGCTCAGCAGCAGGTTGCACGGATCGTCTTCCAGCTTGGATATGCCTGCTTTTCCAGAAAGCTGTTTATTCAACTCAGAAATACACTGGAGTGAACTCTTCCCTTTTTCCTCTAAAGCAAAGCCGGAGAAAGGTAGATGGTTGAGTTGGGTCTGTAGTAACTGTAGTCCCCAAACAAATCCACTGCAAAGCTTGCCCCCAAATAAATCTTCATGTCTACCCTGGGCCACTGGATCTTCTCATCAATCTCTTTGCCCATTGAAATAGAACCAAACATCCAAGTACTTCTCCACTCCAGATGTTTCTAGTAGTGAAGGCTGAAATGGCATCTTATCTGGAATTTCCTATGAAATACTCCAGTGAGGGCTGGGGAGAGAGATCAATCCAGAAAGTGCTTGCTGCTGTGTTCTAGCCCCAGGACCACATAATCTAGGCATGGTGGTCCATACCTGTAATCCCAGCACTGGGGAGGCAGAACAGAAAGATCCCTGAGGCTCACAGTCTAGCTATTAGTGAGCTCCCGGTTCAGTGAGAGATCCTGCCTCAAAAAATAAACTGCAGAACAATTAAGAAGAATACCTGATGTCAACCTCTGACTTCCATGTGCACCCACCCAGTATCCACACACACACACACACACACACACACACACACACACACACACACAGACACAGCTCTAGTGAAGAAAAATGAAATAATTTAAAAAGAGGGAAGGGTGATGAATTAAAATTGCCAAATTAGAGGTGTAGCCCCGTGGTAAAGCACTGACTAGCAAGGATGAGGTCTGAGGTTCAGTTACCAGCATTGCAAAAATACTAAGATTGCTAAAACATTGATCTTTGTTGGTCATATGACTATCTATTAGGCTGTTCTGTGTACCTTTAAATTTTGAAATTTTCATTTAGAAGGTATTTTGTATTTCTCATGCTTATTTCATGGATGGTCATGAATCACACAATGTTTCAGACAATGATGGACAGCATGTATGACCTAGCCTTGGTGTATACTAGGCTATACCATGCAGATGTGTGAAAGTACACTTCATGATGTTCACACAAAGGCAGAACCAGCTGACAATACATTTCATAAAACACATCTCTGGCTGGGTGTGGTGCTGTACAGCGGTAACTCCACCACACTGAAGGCTCAGTTCAAGCCCAGAGTCATCTACATAGCAAGTTCCAGGCCAACTAGAATTAATGACCCATGAGTTCCTTCCTGTACCTCACTTCAAAGACCAACTTGGGAAGATCTTCATGTCCGCAACCACATTCCCCACTACATTATTTTCCCTCACAAAACTGAATCCAGTGCTTCAAACACAGCCGCTGGTGAGCTGAACTCTAGAGGGCCACCATGTACCATACCGGAGCTCAGGAAACAGAGAGCACACTGTGGCCTAGGACAGAGGGAAAGATCAAGGTACATTCTAGAAAGTTCCTTTCTGGTCTCTGTTCTCAAGAGTATCTTAGCCCATGGAAGCAAAAGCAAGGGCATTAGTGGTAATACTGACCCAATCTTATCCTTCTACCCTTACCAGCTGTAAGAACTAAATGAGAAAAAAAAAAATCCAAGAGCCCAACACATTATGCTAAGTGAAGGTGAGTCTTAACAGCTGATGTCCCCAGCTTCTATGGCCTTGCCAGTGCCTCCAACTCCACTGAGATTTCCCAGCCTCATATACAGAAGCTCTTTGACGTCGTATGAGGTCACATCCTGGAAAAGTCATCATAAGTAAAAATAATGTCACGCCACCACATACATGCCTATTGATTGTGATAGGGAGGATCATGGGTTCAAGGCCAGCCAGGATACATAATAAAACCAACCCAAAAAGCCACAACAAAAATTTTTACTACCCCACAGCCATTAAAAAAGAAAAAGAAATCTTAAGTCAAACTATGTAAGTGCAGATATTCTCTGACACAGGATGCCATGAAGTCACAAAAACCTACCAAAAGTTAAAAAAACAAAAAACAAACCTGTAGGCTGAGCCATCTAACTCACCTGATGCTATACTGGATTTCTTGGTAGACCTGACTCACCTGTAATAGTTGTTTCTCTCTCCACACTTTCAGTCTCGTCTTTATCTGGAAAATCTCCAGACATTGGGAGTGACGTGGTTTTGGTTTTAGCTACCCAGTAGATATATGAGGTGTCAGATGCAGGGTTGTAGTTTTTCTCTGGGTAAAACATTACATCATTGGAGTCTTGATGGAGGCCTGACGAACGAACAAAACCCAAAACAAGTTTGCTCTTGAAGTAGGTGTATAGAGGAAAATGAAGTAGAGAGAAAAGGCCTGGTTTTTCCTAATTTGGTTTAAATATAGCCAGTTTCCTGAACCTATCAGATTCAGTCAGCTGCTAACTGAAAATTAAAAAATAAAAGTTAAAAAGCCATACCTGCTGCAGACAGGCACAGAGCTTTTGTCACTAGTCTCTGAACAATACAGCATAGCAACTACCCACAGCATTTGGTCTGTCATCGGTTTTAGAAATGAATTAGAGACAATTTAACGTTCCTGGGAGGCTTACATAGGATCGGTGCAAATATTAGATTATTTTATATTAAAAAGAACATGAGCAGCTATGGATATTCAGGTCCTGGAATTGACGACCCCCCACACACACGTACACATACACAGAGAGAGAAGCATACATACAGAATAAACCAGAGGCATATTGGTTTTACTCAAGGCCTCTGAGTTTCCATGTAAAAATCTGGGGAAGCCTCCACCAGGACTCTGCTGGCAAATCTAGGCTACAGATTTTATTAGCATTCTGTTCTTGAGGAGAGAGTGGTGGAGCCATGGGAGGAGCTACAGGAAGGATGGCTCTCTGAAGCTCTCCCTAATTTCCTTCAACGCATAACTGCCTTGTAGCAGATTAGAAATCTTAACTTTTGTTTTTTGGTTTTGGTTTTTCAAGACAGGGTTTCTTTGTGTAATAGAAAGCTTAACTTTTAAGAAATACTTATTTTTATTATTTTTAACTATGTGTCTTGTTGGAGATATGTGCACTAGAGTGCAGATGCCCTTGGAGTTCAGAAGAGGATGTGGTGTTCCCTGAACCAGGAGGTTTGCACTGTCTAGTATGGGACCTCTGCAAAGCAGGGCCTTCCCTTAACTGCTAAAACATCTCTCCAGCCCCAGAACTTGTAACTTTTTAAGAGAGATGCTCTCCTAGGCAAAGAAATTTGCCTTAACTTATAACTAGGCTTAAACAACCCCAATAGCCAAGTCTTACAGCATGGGATGGGCTGTAGAAAGAGAACTACCAGCATTCATGAACATTGATGTGGAATGTTCTGGGGGCAG